ACAATTGATGTGTGTATGGATTGGGATAACAGTTGTATGGGCCCCTAATAAAATGTTTTAAAAAAAATTAATAAGCTAGGCTGGATGAACAATCTGGAAGAGAAAACAATGGGACCGACAGTTCCAGGGGACAGGAGAGAGGGGGAGTGGGGGGGAAAGGTAGTGGTGTTAAGAAACCCAGAGACAAAGGAACAACAAGTGATGCAAATTGGTGGTGAGGAAGTTGTAGGAGGCCTGGTAGGGCGTGATCAAGGTAATATAACCAAGAGGATTTACTGAAACCCAAATGACAACTGAGCATGATACTGGGACAAGAGGAAAGTCAAAGGAAATCGAGGAAAGAGCTAGGAGGCAAAGGGCATTTATAGAGGTCTAAATAAAGATATGAACATATGCAAATATATTTATATATGAGGATGGGAAATTAGATCTATGTGCATGTATTTATAGGTTTAGTATAAGGTGACCAGAAGTCCCAATTTTTGGCGTTTTAAAAAAGTCCCAATTTTTGGAAAGAATGCACGACAAGCTAGGGAATAGTCTATTTGGTCCATATAGACCAAATTTTTAATCAAGAACAACCCCCACCCCAGCCCCTGTCAATGGTGTCCCACTTTAAGTCTGGTCACCTTAGTTTAGTATTAAGGTAGCAGAAGGATATTGGGCCTCCGCTCAAGTACTCTCTCAATGCAAGAATACTTTGTTCTATTAAACTGGCATGCCATGATGCTGACCTTCCCGACACAACTGCTGAAGACAAAGCGGGTGAATAAGCAAATGTGGTGAAGAACACTGATGGTGCCCGGCTATCAAAAGATACAGCGTCTGGGGTCTTAAGCTTGAAGGTAAATAAGCGGCCATCTAGCTCAGAAGCAACAAAGCCCACATGGAAGAAGCACACCAGCCTGTGCGATCACGAGGTATCGAAGGGATCAGGTATCAGGCATCATCAGAACAAAAAAATCATATCACAGTGAACGAGGGGGGTAGTGAGGAGTGGAGACCCCAAGTCCATTTGTAGGCCACTGGACACCCCCTTGCAGAAGTCAGGGTGTGATGTGGCAACCATGAAACATACAACTTTCTCTAGTTCCTAAATGCTTCCTCCTACCCCATTATCATGATCCCAATTCTACCTTACAAATATGGCTAGACCAGAGTATGTACACTGGTACAGATAGGAACTGGATACGCAGGGAATCCAGGGTGGATGATCCCTTCAGGACCAGTGGTGTGAGTGGAGATACTGGGAGGGTCGAAGGAGGGTGGGTTGGAAAGGGGGAACTGATTACAAGGATGTACATGTGTCCTCCTCCCTGGAGGACAGACAACCGAAAAGTGGGTGAAGGGAGACATCGGACAGGGCAAGATATGACAAAATGATAATTTATAAATTATCAGGGGTTCATGAGGGAGGAGGGAGCAGGGAGGGAGGGGGAAAATGAGGAGCTGATGCCAGGGGCTTAGGTAGAGAACAAATGTTTTGAGAATGATGAGGGCAATGGATGTAAAAATGTGCTTTACACAACTGATGTGTGTATGGATTGTGATGAGTTGTAGGAGCTCCTAATAAAATGATTAAAAAACAAAAACAAAACAAAAAAAACTTTGTCACCAACGATCCTTGTGATAGCCGTAGCTCCTGGAGCAGGCACACCGGGCAGACTAGTCACGTGTTTGGTGAGGGACAAGGATGAAGGAGCTTCCCCACCACCCCAGACCTTCCCATTTTAAAACCCACTTATTTCAGAGGACTAAAGACTCTCTAACCGGAGACCACAGAAATCAGATGGCGCCAGGCTACCATTAGTGACGGCTCTGACCAAAGCCACAAAAGAAAGCTCTGCTTAAAATGGGTTAAAAAAAAGGTAGAAAAAAACTCAAAGATTTAAAAAATAAAAATAAAAGACCAACCTTATTGGATTGAAAGAACTAAAAGAACCTACAGGCTACCTTTCAGTCAACTAAATAATGGTCGTGAACAGTGTGCTCCATGTCCCTTAGATCAATAACTCCAGGAGACCACGAGGCAACATTGGTTCCAAATCAGAGAGCAGAGGACGGGAAGGGACAGGGACACGAGGCCATGAAAACCAGAGTGTGCACGCGCCCCAAAAAGTGATTAAAAGAAAGAAAACCAGGTCGGAAATAGAGAAAGTGCTGACACACGTATGTGTGAGTATGTGTGTGTATACTCTTGATTGGACAACTAACAGTCCTACTGGGTAATCTTTTTACAGTTTAACAATATATTACGAACATCTTTCCATGTAACCAAATACTTACAGATCTATCTACCTACCCTGTCCTTCCTAATGGCTGTCTTTTATTCCTTGGTGTAAATGTACCATAATTTAACTAATACCTCAAAAAGATGCTTCTGGGTAGTTTCCAATTGTTCCCTATAATATATCGATAGTCAGCTACTTCCTTGTACACACATTTCTATCCACACACTTAAGAGTAAAATTCCTGAAAGTGTCGGTAACTCAGCCGGACCTCTAAAAATGGCAGCTATGATTATTACTATGTTGCTGGCAATCTGAGCAGCTTGGGGTAACTTGACAAACAGAAGTGCTCAGTCTAATGCCCCAGGGCCAGTCATTAAATGACCACAGTTCCAATGAATAAGGAACGAAAATACACTGGAACTAAGAGTCCCAACTCTGATCCAGGAACCACCCACCTCGTCAGCACTTCCTGCTATTCACCTGTGACCCCGCAGCAGGTGATGCTGCAACCCCACAGAGGAGGAAAACCACCATGATGACACGGGTCATGATGCCTTTCCTGGGGGAGTTAATCTCACTCGATAAACACCACCTTATAATCAGACTTCCTTTCCTGACAACTTTTAAATCTTGTAGACAAATAATCATGTCTCTGGGAGAGATCACTGATGGCTATCAACACAGATGTTTCAGGTGGAGAAATTAAGACAAACGCATTTCGAAGGTGACAGGAAGGCAGGAGCGGCAGCTGAACCAGATGGCAAATACTATTTCTGAAAGACCAGAGTTTTCTTGCAGGCATGCACTAAGTTCAAAAAATCACCACTTTCGGGTCACCACTCCCTGCCAAAGATTTAAAAAATTGCACGCTTCAAATAACATCTGTGTGGCACACCTTTCAGCTTCCCGTCGAAGTCCGGGCTGGTGGCCACCTGGAGTCCTGGGTGTGGCAGCAGGAAGCAGTTGACACTGGAGAAGCAGGAGTGGATGTGATTCCGCACATTCTGAATTTCTTCGTGTTGATGCTCCTTCACCTGCCGAGGAAGAGCCACAACTTACCTGTGGCCATTTCTGTTTCCCCACCAGGAGCCGTGAGACAAGGAAAAGACCCCTCAGTGGCCCCGGTCTCGTCTGGTGAAAACTCTGAACTAGGGCGCAGTAGATGATACGCACAACAGATCCACTGCGGCGCGGCTCCTTGAGCAAACAGGTACTAGAGGACTTTGTGAAAGTGGAATATTGCACAATACGTGGGGAGAACAGGGAGGCCTGTGGGAGGGAAGGAGGGTCTGACCAGTTAGCTACACTGACAAAGGGCTCTTGTGTTGGATGTTCTGGAGCAGGCTGGGCCTGTTTCTATCCTTCCCAAAACAAATAAGAACTCTTGAGTTCAGATTAACAGAACTAAACTTACGGATGCGGCACTCCAAAGGCACACACAGAACCTGGCAGAAAAGTGTGAAATGGCAGTGACAGGCCCAGAATCCTCTTCTACAATCCCTGTGCATACAGTGTATGCCAAGGTGCTTGTGTGTGTGTTGAACTTGGCCATGAAGAAAGAGTTTATGTGCCACGCTTCCATGAAGTGCCTGTTACTACAATGCTCCATAATCTGCTCTAAGGGCAATCGCTGAAGGCAGAGAAGAAAGACAGAGGCTGCCTGCCTTGGGGTGATTCCTCGGGGGCTTCCTTCCCTCCGTACCTGGAGACGCTTATCCAAAAATGCCATTCCCCCCTGCAGTCCGTAATTGTACTCGTAAGGGAAACTCCAGTCTCGAACCAAAAACATAAGTGTCTGTAAGAAGAGGAGAAGAGCACACGTGTGATAACTGCATACGACAAGGTGCATTTGCAAGATACGGAATGCTTGCAGGGCTTATTGTCATCGAGCCCCGGCTTCTACTGTCAAAGGGAGCATGGGACTGCGCCGAAGGATTTCTCCGCTCTGCTACATCATGGAAACCCACAAGAGGACACATGTTAGCCACGGGTGAGGTCAACATAGGTGCCTCTTCGATTCAGGTCGCTCAGGTCAATGAGGGCAGAAGGAAGAGGTCGGAGGGGAAACGGCAAGGGGAAACCGGCTAAAGAGTAAGAGAACGGATGAGGTCATCCGCAAGAGAGGGAAACGGAATGAAGCTCAAACACTCAAAGCACCTCTCCTATCTCATCTCCCTGCAGTGACTGTGCATTCTCCTCCCAAAAAACAACGAGCCCAGGCTGGGGGCCGCAAACTCGGGTAAAGGGTCGAGTAAGCACTTATGCTTGCAAGCCATGCGCGCTGACCCAGCTCCTCAGGAACCTCAGCTGGAGCAGGAAGGCAACAGGGAGCAAGGCTCTGCTCCAGTGAACCCGAGGGGCAGACCCTGACACTCCCGCGTCTCCTGTCATTTACATATTGGAGTTTCTTTTAAAAAAAAACAGGAGCACCTTTTCCAGCTCGTACATCTCGTAAAAACAGGGTGGGGGTGGGGGTGGGGGGTCAGCTTTGGCCTGTGGGCTGATCTCTGAATTGAAGAAGGTCAGGATTATTTTCCGAATCAACTTCCTACCTGGAAAGGCTTCTGAGAAATTTCATCCATTGCCAAGCGACCATATTCCGTGAAGAGCTTTAAAAAAAAAAAAAAAGCATCATGGTTTTTAAGACAGAGCAGCTTAAAATATTCCTATGATGTATTCTTCAGCAAAGCGTTCATTTATAAACTAGCTCCAATTTACACTGAGACTCAAAATTCTGCAGTTGCCACGAGTTCACAGGAGTCAGGTGTCTTAAAATAGCCTTGCTTATTGCTGTCTATCATACCCCCCATCCCAACCCCAATCATCAGCAAACCAGAATCCCATCCCTCAGTCCCCTGTGTGGCCTGGAATACTGCATTCGCCACCACGTCTCCCTACAACAGAAGGTTCCAGTACCTCAGCGGGGGTGGCTCTGCTGTCTATCACTAAACCCTGTTCCACCCGATCACGCCTCTGCTCAAAACCCTCCCATCTCACTCGGTGTGAAAGCCAGGCCTGACGGCGTGAAAGCGGCCCCACTTGCAGCTCCTTCAACATGGCTATCACAGGCTGCAGCAGCATCTTTGTGCTAGCTTCTACCTCTGCAGGTCATGCTCACCCGAATTTCTATAGGACCTCCCGTTAAGGTCTGATACTTCTCTGTGATGCCATCGCTGGCCACCTTTGTAAAATGACGACAGCTCGCCACACCTTTCAGCTGCCTACCCCTGCTCGCTCGCTCCCTCTGCCTTTTTCTCCCTGAAACTTAGCACAATCTCGCCACATCTTGACTTCGTTAGCAGCGTCTGCCTGGCTTTTAAAGGCCATGAGGGCGGGAATGGGTGTCTGTTCCATGCACTACGGTGGCTCCAGCAGCAAAGAGGGCTGGGAGGGCCCGTGCTGGTCATGCCATTCAGCACCTGAGTGGGCAGATTCGGAACACTTAGGGTCGTACACTGCTCTATTTTGTCCATGAAACCTCACTGAAATACAGCAACACAACACTGAAAGGTTGTATGTTCAGCAAGGACGAGGAATCACATGACAGCATGGAAGGGCTGTCCATAACCCTCCGTGAGGAAGATACAAAAAGCACCCTCCCCCGGGTTCTGACTTTTTCTGCTCCAAGAAATCTGGGCGAGGCAGAGGTCAGTAAGGAAGTGGCAGACTCTGGCAGCAGAAGCCGAGAGGCACCGGTTACATAGGAGGAGAGGTGGAGGAGGATTGACAACTAGAGACTGGTGAAGGCCTCTGGAGGGCGCTGTTGCTAGGTGTTGTCAAGGTGGCTGTGACTCCCAGTGACCCTATGGGTGTGCAGCAGAATGGAACCCCACCCAGTCCTGCGCCATGGTCACAACTGTTGCTGCACTGGAGCCCACCGGTGCAGCCAATGCGTCGTCGCGTTGAGGGTCTTCCTCGTTTGCTGCCCCTCGACTTTACCAACCTGGACATCCTTCTAGACCCACCTGGACATCCTTCTAGACCTGGACATCCGACTAGACCCACCCTCCTCTAGACATACAAGCCAAGGTCAGCTGAGGTCAGGAATCCACCCCTTACATTACCAGGAGGGGCACGATGTCAAAATCTGCCCACTGCACTGTGTGTGACTGATCCCTTGGCCCCTCGCCTGGTTTCAAGCCGCCTTGGTTAGAGTTTAAAGATAAAGGTCTACAGACACAGCTACTCTGGCAATGGCCAAAGAACGGTGCGATAACCGTGCCAGACCACCACTGCACAAGGCCCGCCCTCTCACCAAACCTCCCAGGCAGGTTTCAGGGGCCTCCTCTTACATATGAGGGCTTGAAAAAGTTCATGGGAAAAATTCAGGGGTATTGGACTTCCAGTGTTCCACAGCCTTTTTAACACCCTTGCAGGAATAGGAAATCACACCAGACAGTTGAGAAGTCTGTAACAATTGAGACATCAACTCAGGTCCCTCGGTTCCAAGTGTCATCTGCAATCCCAATTCCCTATTCCTCCAACTCGAGCACCTCCCAGACCTTCCCTGAACAGATCCTCAACCCCGCCTCCTGTACCCAGTTCTCTCCCCCCACCCCTTCCCTTCCTGTCTGCTCATCTGCATCTTGTTAGCCCTTGGTGGCGACTGCTACTCTGTCATGTCCGAGGTTCAGAGTCTACAAAGAATGAAGAAAAGGCCCAGACTAAGGTCTGTCTTAGGAGCTCTGGTGGTGTGGTAGCTACACATTGGGCAGCTGAGCGCAAGGTCTGAAGTTCAAAACCACCTGCCCCTCCGAGGGGAAAATAGGCGGCATTCTACTCCTGTAGAGTTAGTCTCTGGAACACACCGGGGCAGTTCTGCCCCACCCTACAGGGTCTCTGTGAGTCGGCATCGACTCAATGGCAGTCAGTTCGGTTTGGGGTTTGGGAAGACGTTCACCGTGAAAACATCTTCCACTGAGAATCAGAAGACCCATAAAGCTTCAGGGAGAAACCAACAAAACCGAACCCACCCAAAGGATCAGGGATCAGGTGGGGAGGACTCCAGCAGCCACCCAGGGAACTGTAAGTCCAGGAGCCACTGCCTTCCCATGCCCAAGAGCATCTCCATCCTAAGTCCTTAGAGGAAATCAAAACCTTTTCACACTCGCAAGATCTCCAAAAAGTGACCTCCTCTGCCCGAGTCCTCAGGAAGCTGCGGAGGACTGGGTGAAAGGAGAGACTGAGAAGAAATGTTTCCGGGGGCAGGACGGCAAGCTCAGGCTCTGCTATCTTCTACGGAGCAACAGCTTGCCAGCCTTGAGCCCAGGCACAGGCATATGAAGTCCGGATATTTGCTACCAAAACCCAACCCACGGCCTTCAAGACGTTTCTGACTCAGAGCAACCCTCCCTCGCCCTCACACAGGGTTCCCAAGACTTGAAAGCTTTATACGACGAGCAGTCTCATCTTTCTCCCACACTGAACTGCCAACTGTGCGATTAGCAGTCCATTAAAAGGTGGCCTGGGGGTGCAGCAGTTAAGCAGTCAGCTGCTAACCAAAAGGTCGACAGTTCAAACCCCCAGCCAATCCAGCTGCTTGAGTTCATAAAAATGGAGCATCTTGGAACACAGATGGAGGAGGTCTGCTCTGTCCCCTAAGGGGTACGATGAGTCAGAATCAACTTAATGGCAGTGGGTTTTTCGGGGTTTAGTAGCACTAAGTGCCAACGGTTAGAAACCACCTTCTTCTTTTAATGGAACATAACTATGAACTAATTCCAGACTGGCGGTGCTAGGTGCTGTCGAGTCAGCTCTGTGCAACAGATCGAAACACCGCCCATTCTGCAGCACCCATGCAATTGTTAGGATGACATCACTGTTACAATCACTGCGTCCGTCCATCTAATTGAGGGGCTCTTCCTCTTTTTTGCAGACTTTCTCATTTACCAAGCCCAATGTCCTTCTTCAGGGATGGGTCTCTCCTGGCCAAAATATGCGAGACAACATCTCACCATCCTCGCTTCTAAGCAGCATTCTAGCTGCCCTTCTGCTAGGGCAGATTGGTTGGCTCTTCTGGCAGTCCGTGGTACGGTCAGTATTCTTTGCCAACATCCTAAGGCAAATGCATCCATCTTTCCCCGGTCTTTCCTATTCCACTTGCAGCTTCTTTCAAGTGCACATAAAGTGAGTGGAAATCCCGTGGCTTGGGCCAGGCGCATGTTAGTCCCCAAAGAGACATCTTTGCTCTATGAGACTTTAAATAGCGCTTCTGCAGTAGAGGTGCCTCACTCACTAACAACGCCACATGCATTCTCGAATGCCAGCGGTAGAGGAGAGCGGAATTAGAGGTGCATGCCAGGAATTGCATCCAAGTGCAGAATACCCATGGGAGAGTTTGTTGGGAGAAACAGGGATGAATCGCGGCTGTGCTAAGAACAGAAGACGCTGATAATAACAGCCATCAGATTATGACTAGCCTCTATCAAGCACCAACTATGTGCCAGATACATAGCTCTATGTATTTCACAAATGATTGCTTTGATCTCACCCGGGTTACTGAAAAAGCTTCATAAGCCAGCTCACCAAGCGTCTTCTTGCTCCCTCCCCCACAATCTGCTCTGAGCACGGCCTGCAGGTCCTATCCACCCCTCCTCCTCACAAAGCCCAAGGCCCCTATGGTCCCAAGGGTCTAACAGGATCTGCAAGCACTGTCTGAGCTCCTCCGTCAGCCTCCTCCCCATCACACCCTCCAAACACTCCCCCCACAGAGTTGGGGGGGGTGGGGTGTCTCTTGCTGCTGCTTGAACTTGCTGAGCACACTGCCCCTCAGGGTCTTTATCCTTTCCCTCCTTCTATCACACTTTCTCCCCGAATATTTTTGCAGGGCTTACTCGTCTGGCTCAAATCAGTAAGGTGTTTGCTGACCACGCAAGCTTCAGGCCAACATCAGATAATACTGCATTACAGACTACTGGGATCAAACGCCTTCCTCCATTTCAATCTTTTATTAAAAATTACTTAGGAGCAAAAGAGAAAGACAAGCCAAAGACTCAGAGAAGAAATGAGTCTACAATAGTCTAGCACAACCACAACCTCAGATACCCTGAGACTAGAGCTAGAGGGTGCCTGGCTACCACCAACCATTCTCACTGGGGCCACAATAGAGGAATTCTGATAGGATGGGAGAAAAATGTAGAACATAGCTTTTTTTTTTAAAGACCAGACTTAATGGACCTGCTGGGACTAGAGGACTCCTTCAAACCTCCTGGGGTGTATTAGCTAAGTGACAGGTTGGTATGTAAAATAAAGACTATGATCCATGAACAGTAACCTTAGTTAACAAAGCATCATGAGACCAAACAGCCAATAGTCACTAATGCAGAGATGAAAGGGTTCTGGGGCAGTGGGACTAGATTACTGGGACAACCAGAACAGAAACAGTAACACCAATACTTAGTGAAAAATGTAATCAATGTCACTGAACACTTTGTTAAAAATTATTCATGAGGATCTAATTTGATAGGTTGTACAGAAAACACATTCAAGTTATTATTTTTTTAAAAGCCTACTAATCCTAAAATTGCCTTCAGTCACAACACTTTTCAATGACATAGGACAATGTTAAACACATGCTAGGGAAAAATACCTGTAGCTGCTGAAGATCATCTTCCTGAATGTTCTGGGACAAATTATAGATCTGGAAAACAGAAATCCGGCTTGGTGACTTGCTCTGGCTTATTTCAAGAAAATCTCAAAGAAGTTGAAAGTTTTCCACACTTAAAAGTTCACACAGAACAATATGAGACCCTGTCTAACCATAACAGTATTTGCATTTAGAAAACTATACAGGTAACACTGAGATCATAAAATCCCTCCTTTGTATTCTTAAATTCTTACCAAATCTACATTTCCTGCCAGTTGTAGTAATGCACCTTCACTTTCCACTTTTCAGGCTTCTCAAACTGTGGGCCGCGACCCCTTTGCGGCCCTTTCACAGAGGCCACCCAATTCATAACAGTAGCAAAATTAGTTATGAAGTAGCAATGAAAATAACTTTATGGTTGGGGTGTCACCCAACATGAGGAATTGTATGAAAGGGTCGCAGTACCAGGAAGGTTGAGAACTGCTGTCTTGGGGCATTTTGTATTGAACAAGAGCAAAAGTAGGGAAAGTGGTGCAGCTCTCTTGACGTTTGACGAGTTGAACTTGTACCTATTGAACACTTCTGGATCTCATCATAGGGGTCACACAGCACACAGTAAGTCAAAGACGGTTCTCCCCTTATTTGGCTTCCTCTGCAGAACGTTTACCCGTCAGGTGGCTTTACCTGCACAGAACTAGTCATGGTGCTGAGAGCAAAGATGGTGGCACAGTCTTTCACAGTGGACTGGCTGTCAAAGGCCCCCTGGGTATCCATCAGGATAACTGCAACCTGGAAAGAAATGCAAACAAAAGGTGTTTGAGAAAGAAGAGTACCTTTAACGTTCAAGTAAGCTGTACACCCCTGCTCAAAGGGAAAAGTCCAATTAGGTACTTCTGTGCTCCGCTCTAACCGCAGCCCTAATCGAGGAGTGGTTACATTAGGCTTCTTACTGCACGGTCCACAGTTCAAAAACACCAGCTACTCCATGGGAGAAAGATGAGGCTTTCTACTCTCGGAAGAGAGTTGCAGTCTCGGAAACCCACAAGGGCAGTTCTACGCTGTCCTGCAGGGTCAGTGTGAGTCAAAACTGACTCGAGGGCAGTGAATTTAGTTTGGCTTTGGCTTTCTGCTGTGACTAAAGAACTCTGCTGGAGAAGCCTCAGCTGACATGGTATGCTGCTATGACAGACACGTGCATGACACCATTTAAGGAAGGAAACATCCCCCACCACGCAAAACAGCTAAATGTGGATGTCAGTCAGCCTGCCAGTCAGCCAGGTTCATGGTTGTTGGTTTGTTTTGGTTTTTTTTTGGTTGGTTGGGAAAGGAAATTAAAACTACCCACTTAAACCATTTTATGATGAAGATATTGTTACATTCGATGAGCAACCAAGAATAATCATAGCTGGAATGTCTAGATATCACATGCCAAAGAATGACGCTGGGCCCTTTTCTCACACCACACACAAAAACTAACTCAGAGAACATCAAAGACCTAACTGTACTATGGCATAGTCACACGGTACGAGGTCAGGTGAGTCAGGTGCAGGGGGCAAGAGAGGCATGCTGTTTTTTGCCAAAAACTGAGGCACTGAGATGGCTGTGTGAGCAGGTGCATTGTCTTGATGGCAAAACCAGTCCCCCATCTGCCACAAATAAGGCCTTTTCTGTCACACACTGTTAAGCAATCTTTTCAGAGCATCTAAATAGAAAGAAAAAAAAAGGAAAAAGAAAGCTTGAATAAGTCTGACCTGGTGGAACGAACTTCAAATGCACTATTGCCTCACATCAAAAAAACAAATGAGCATCAGTTTTTGTAGGATACCCCCTCGTAGAAAAGGTTTATAAAGAATATATTTAATAAAGCTCTAAGACCTGAAATGCATAAAAATATTTTATAATAAAAGGGGGGAAATGCACAAATGATTTGAATGTCTACAAAGTACTTCTACAAATATACACATATAAAAAGACTTTTTAAAATGTTATACATAAAGAGATGTTCAAAATCATTAGTCATAAAAGAACAAAAGATCTATATGGGGAAAACTACAGAACACTATTACAAAAAAACAAGAGCAACCTCAACAAATGGAAGAATATCCCATGCTCGTGGATTGGAAGACTCAATATAGTCAAGATGTCAGCTCTGTGCAAGGCATTATATAAATTTAATGCGATCCTGATACAATTACCCTCATCTTCAAAGAAATGGAAAACTGATCACCAACTTCATATGGCGAGGGAAGAAGCCCAGAATTAGCAGAAAACTCCACAAGGAGGACACAGTGGGAGGGCTTGCTTTACCTAACTTTAGCATATACTATACAGCCACAGTTGTCAAAACCGCATGGTACTGGTACAATGACAGATACTCAGACCAATGGAAAAGAACTGAAAACCCAGAAATAAAATCATCAGCATACAGACAACTGATCTTTGATAAGGGCCCAAAAAATATCCAATGGGAAGCAGATGCCCTCTTTAACAAGTGGTCCATGGAATGCTGAAGGTGGACTTTGGGGCCAGGGGCGTGGTACCCCAACAGACTGGACTGGAAGACACTCCTGAAGGCCAACAAACAGTCCTTGAACTAACTACAAGCTTTTCTTTCTTCTTGTGTTTTGTTTTGTT